CGGGCCGTCGTAGCTCCAGCCCTCCGGCGCCTGGCGAGCGTGGGGTGCCCAAATGGCTCCTCTCGTCGGGGACCCAAGCTTTCTTGGCGGCTGAGGGGGAAACCACCAGGAACGCCATCTTGGCTTTTTGTGGTTTAAAGGGGAACACACATCAAAGACCATCGTTTTTGATTGTTCTTTTGGGGGAAGGGGGGTCCAAGCTTCAAGAAGACTTTCCACTTCCTGGGGTGCAAAGAAAAAAACTGATTTTGCCAAGGGTGGCTTTTCGCTGCCCGAAGCGCCCTGGCCATTTTGGGTGCCAATTGACAGCCCTTGAAAGATCCTGGTGTTTCATCGTTGGTCCCCATACTCCATGAAAGATCGCTTGTGTGCTTTCGTTGTTGAGAGTATGTTTGCTTATGCTTGTGCTTTTTTTTTGCCGGGGGGGGGGGGGGGAGGTTGGGGGGGGTTAAAGGAAAACGAACAGGAGCGCCCTTTGGGGCTCGCGGTTTCCCGTCTTCACCTCGTCGGCAACCGTTTTGTGCATTCCAGTTCCACCTGCTTGGAAGCTTGCCATAACCTGACACAGACCTGCAGACCGTGTAGGAAAAACACACCAGCTTGGGTAGTTGGAAAGTAACATGGGATGTTGCATCATATTGCTGGAGGTGGATTCCCTTTTGTATGGCTAGTTTGAGGGAGATGCAACCCCAAACTAGGGAGGTGGATTCCGTTGCTTGTGTCTAGTTTGAGGGTTTAGGTACTTGGCTCTGCTCCCACTTCACTTAGGCGATTTGCCTAAACAACCACCCTGGCTCCAGAAGGTCAAGGATTCTCAATGGCCATAGCCGTTCAAGGGCAGCTCCATAGCTGTAAGCCACATCCCCCCTGGAATCCGATTCGGTGAGTTACCCTCCCACCAATTGATTAACACGTGGAACCCTTCGACGTTCGGGGAATCGGTCCTGCTTTGGACCCATTGTCCTTTTAAAGGGACCATTTCCCGACCTCAGCTACGTCCTCCAGTAGAGAGGTCACAAATAAGGGTGCCCCTTTTTTCTGCAGTCTAAATTCAACTCTAGTAGAAACAAACCCTTCCCCCCCCAAAAAAAACCAGGGTAAACCTTCTGGGGGGATTTCCCCACCTCTTCCCTTTAAAGAGACCAAACAAATTCTCCCCACCCCAGGCTGCGCCTCCGGGCCGGACATGGGGTCGATGCGCCACTCCCACTCCCCGAGCTCGCAGAACTGCCCCGTCCTGACGTAGAACGACTTGGTGGACGCAAGGGGAGCAACGAAAACAACAAGTTTAGCAGCTGTTTTTTAGTTGTTGGTTTTTGAGTTTTTAAATAAAACAATTAACAGTTACCCTCTCTCCCACGTTGCCATGGCACCCGACAGAGAGTTTTTGCAAGAGGGGCCTGATCTTCCAGGTACCCTCCCACACTCCCACAGGTGCCATGTTAGTGGGAGGAAGGGTAAGTGGGGATTTCAACCACTAAACCACAAGCAAAAATGTAGAGTGTGTCCCAACAACAACCATGGGGAAGCAAGGACGGCCGGTTCCCAGGTGGTCAACGGGGCGCCCTTTGGCAGACCTTTGGGCCATTTCAAGCTTCAAAAGCCACAGATCTTGGAGCCAGTTTCTGGAAATGGCCGTTCTTTACGGTAGACTTAGTACACAACTGACACGTGAGAGCTCCAATGTAGACATATATTGATGACATTGGGCCAGGGAAAGCATGTCCACCGCTTTGGAGCCGCCTTTAAAAAAAATCACGGCCATGTCCCAAAGCCCAAGTGCGGTCCGAGGCGCAAGCAGGGGGGAAGGGGGGGAAGGGGGGGCGGCAGCCATGGGTGTCGAAAAGGATAAACCAAACAGGAACACTGGAAAAAAAAACTTTCTAGTGTCCACTCGGTGTCCTCTTGGACACCATTCAAACAACCATTCGAACAGGACGCTGCGACTATCCCAAGTCTGGGGTTCGCATATCACATGCCTAAAGATAAAAAAGACAAGTGCCACTGGATGTGCTCTTGATGTCATGCCTGCACCTTTTGCTAGCTTTAAGATTGCCGGACCAGGCAGACACTGAAACACATGTTTTGAATTAAATTAGTGAAACATAGTGAAATAGTTTGTGAATCAAAATAGTGAGTGAAATATTTAGTGAATCAAAATTGTGAATTGGTAAACATGGATTTGCAGTTTGTGACTTCAATTATTGAATTGAGAATGTGGGTGTCCAGGTTTGTGAATTGAGCAAAGGAGCCAATTGGTCTTTGCATTTGTCATAAGAGGGCCTGCCACCGGCTTCCCCAACAGGCGGGGCGAGCATTCGCTAATTTATTTCACTAATTTGAATAGCAACAGTTTGCCGATTTGTGCAAATTGAACCTCTAAAATTCTTTAGATTTCAATTCACTAAATTTCACTAATTTTCGCTAAATCAAATTAATGAAACTTGGTGAAATTTAGCGAAATTTAGTGAAATTTAGTGAATTTTAGCGAAATTCAACGAAATTTCAGAAAGAGATTCACTAAATTTCACTAAATTTCACTAAATTTCACTATTTCACTAAATTGGACTTGCGAAATTTAGTGAAATTTAGTAACATTTAGTGAAATTTAGTGAATCTCTTTCCAAGATTTCATTGAATTTCATAAATTTCGCTAAGTTTCACTAATTTTCACTAAATTTCACTAATTTTCACTAAATTAGACTTGCGAAACTTAGTGAAATTTAGTGACATTTAGCAAACTTTAGTGAAATTTAAGGAAATTTAGTGAAATTTAGTGAAATTCAATGCAGGTTAGTGATTTTTTCTTTTTCCTTTTGAAAAGATTGCAATCTTGAGCAAACAATTAGTGAACAAAATAGTGAATGGAATTAGTGAAAATTAGTGAATTGGCACTTATGGAAGTTGCGGGCGCTGCGTTGGGCAGACTTGGGGCCAATCGAGTCGAGGGCTTCCCTTTAGCATATAAACATTGTTTCGCTTTGCTTTGCTAAGCCTAAGGGCCTAATCTCTAGCACAACTCACCTGGACCTAGTCACCTCGCCATGTAGGCGTATGTCCATTCACTATTCCCATTCACTATTCCCATTCGCAATTGTTTTAATTCACTATTCCCATTCACTATTTCATTTGCTAATAGTCACTAAAACAATATTTTGATGTGTCCAATCTCTACCTCCCAGCGGCAATCTTAATGCTAGCTTCGAGCAAGCCTACCTGTAGCCACTGCAGAACCATTTCTGCAGCTGCTCATGTTTCCCAGGTTGCATTCAGCTGGGTGAATTTGGTCAGTTGCCCTAAGGTCAAGGGCTCCTTAGCTTCATGACTTTGCGCCGCCTCTGCTCCCATGTTCCCATGGGCAAGTTACAATAATCCACCGATCTGAAATGCGGAACCCATAGCTTATGAAAGGAACCTTCATGGGAAGACTCGGCGCAATCGGTTTAGGGCGCAATTTCAGCTGCCCAAAAGTGCTATTTCTGTGCTCACTTGTGTTCGGCAGTAAGTTGTTAGCCACTCGGAATAAAACCCGCTATACAACATTGACTCTGAGGCCTTGGCATCGTTTTGGCATTTCCATCGGCAAGCTCAATCTCAAAGCATCACATCTTCTGGGAGCCCGTTCGCCAGCTTGGTCGATACTCAAGAACCTACAAGCGCCACAAGTGGGTCAAGTCGTTAACCTTGGTTACCAACAAGTTGCGAAAACTTCGCCGACCCGAGTATCCCCAAACCACCGTCCCCTAACCACTGGACAATGAGAGGCTCGCAATGCGACACATCGAGTCGCATCGACCCTCCTGCGGATAATGCCCGCCAGGTCCAGCAGGTTGGCCACTTGGTTGGTGGGGTTCGCTCCGTTCCTGGACCCAAACGCGTACCGCCCAAACTTGGCCAAACGCTCAAGGAAACTCTTCTTGGTATTCCTGCGGTTGTCTCTTGAGTAAATTATTGCAACCATCTGCAAGTATAGTCCACTTGTCTAAGGGAATTCTTAGGTGTGTTTTTGAGGTGCGAATCGTGTATGACTGGGACTCAACCTCCAAACAACCCAGAAATGTCCTTGACCCAACCCACAGCTTCCTCCATAGGGAGCTAAAGGGACTCGACACTTTCAGAGCATTTCTGGGTGCCTTGCTGGATTCGGCGCTCGGCTTGGGACCCCAAGCCGCAATCCGCAGTCTCAAAGCGGCGGCTTTCTGCACCCGTTTGTATGGGCCATTGAACAACCAGATCGCTGGTTTGGTACATATGTTTGACCCGCACACACCTCTCATTGAAACTGTCCCTACCAAGTGGAGAAACAATGAAGCATTCGTTAACGGCTCAAATACTGGACCGCCATTGGCTTGTTGATGGTGCGGTAGAAGGTGTGGCTTTCGACAGGAACTCACTTCCGATCGAGTGGATTGGCCAGAAAATGTCTAAGTTGTTTGTTTCCGGTAAATTCCATAAACCCAGGAAGTGAGGGAACCATGTTTGGCCAACGGATAGTGTGCCTCATGAATCTCCGAATGGAATGTTGACTCGCGGAGAAGAAAAACAACTTGCAGACTAAAACGGTTTTTTTTCCCCAAAAGAGCGATTTTAGGTGTTTGTTCGTCCTTCTCGCTTGAGTCCCAGGCTTTTGCACGAGATCATGGCAAGTGTACCACGAGCCCCATCTTCTCGCAAGCCAAGCATTGGACCGGCTTTCGCATCACTTTGGGGACTGGATCCAACTTCCGAACTGGTTCGCTCTTATGCTTCTTTACCCCCAACTAACCTGGGCTGCCCTCAGATCCCCTACTAAAAGTTCAACTTTTAGTGGGTGAAATGGACATCAAGCCGAAAACCCGCCCTCCGCGGCCCGAGGCCTGCCTCAGCCAGTGCACGCATCGGTCCGCCGAGAGCCGGAACATCTTGGGGTCTTCGATCTGCGTTCGATTCGAGTCAACGGGGCGATTCGGGTCCTCCGGGAGAGAGGTTAGAAGAATGGTGCCCCTTCTTTCTCTAGTCGATTTTAGTAGAACCCTCAGCCTCCCCCCAAAAAGGGGTAAAGCTTGCACCAATGGGGGACCTGGGTCCATTAAAAAGAAGATGCCGAAAAAAGACCCGGTGACATGTAAGCTGAAGGTGGGGATGGGGAGAGTGGTATCAGGGTTGCTTTGGTGCTCCGCCTCTGCCAAGTTAGCAAGTTAGCCATCTGGCTTGCGACCCACCAGGGTCAACTCCACTGAGAGGCACCTAGACGTGGACTCTAACCGTTTCTCATAAACCGAGTCTTTCCCTACGTTTTATAACGCAGTCATGTCCCTTGTTTAAGAACCATGGAGAAAGAGAGTAAACGTCACAGGTCATTCGTTCGGACCATTTCGGCCTCAGTTTCAGAAGGCTTGGAGAAGGCAACATTCACCACACACGACTCGACTTGGCATACTGAATCTGCTTTTGGTGAAACCTGTGCACTTTAAAGCCACTGGCAAACCCTGATCTCTGCCCCCTCCAATGGCCGGGAAAAAACCGCGTGTTGATGTTAATGTTTGCCCAGCCACTAGTTGAAGATTCTTCACGGTGGTGACTTTTGCGGTCCAACATTCATAAGGAATGGATCTACTCACTTCCGATCGAGCGGATTGGCCAGCATGTCTAAACTGCTTGTTTCCGACTAAAATGGTCTTCCCAAAAAATATAAAGTCCATTAACTCAGGAATTGGCGAACAACTCGAAACACATTGCACATACATCATGAGAAATTCGATGCTGATCCTCCCTACTGGCTCAAATCTCTGGTTCTAGCAGAGTTGGGCCGGCTTCTTGGGTAAACACGTGTACAAGAGTATGGCTTTCGCTTGCCTTTCGAGCCAATGTTTTTAAATTGCTGGATTTCAGCTACCCCAACAATATATCACTTCAAAGGTTTAGCTTGGGACACCTGTACATCAATCTCGGAAAGCCGCAACACCATGACTTTCTGCGGGTAGCGCAAGGTAAATAGCTGGGATCAAGTTCCGCGCGCGCAGCAGAGGGTCGCACGCTGTGTCGATGTACTTCCAACCGTAACGAAGAGGAACCTCAAAGGGCTGGCCAACTTCCATTTGCCTATGCCCCCTGGAAAAAATAAGCATATGTGAAAGTAGTGACAAATTCCCGTTAAAACCAGGGGAAATAGAAAAAGCTTAAACATGTGAAGTAGTGACAAAATCCCATTAAAAGCCAGGGAGGAAAAAAGTACTCTATAGCAAATGGAAGCCAAACAAAGCACGAGGCGCGCTTCGCATCTTCTCCTCAGTCTCTTCCACACAGCAGCCTGGTGGGCACCACTTCGTTAGCCGTGCCCCAGTGAAGTTGGAAGCAGACTGCGTTTCGGGGCAGAGCATGTCCAGAACCAGCGCCTCTTCATCCTCGTCCATCCAAGTCACGAGAGCGCAGGTCAAGCGTTTGAGCATTCAGGCTGCTCCAAAACCCCCTCCTCGCCGGTGAATCCCCCCTTAGCATAATGAAATCAGGGGGATGTGGGTGATTTAGAGGGGTTAGGATCCTAGGGGGCTCTTATTGCAAAATCTATTCTGGGAAAAGCTTGGCATACCTCTGAAAGAAAACACCTACCACTTTCGTGCGCCACGCGCCCTACTTGGATGGCTGCTCGATTTGAAGATAAGCTCATTCCACGGTCAAACCACGCGGTCACTTTCGTCACCATAGCATTCGGGATTCAGGTAAACTCAAATCCAACATGAAAGCCAGGACCTTGCAAGGTCTGTCAATTGGCATCCAGAAAGGGCACTGGAGCTGCAAATGGACCACCCAGGACGCTGTTCTGGCTTTCTGTTTCCAAGCGCATCCCATTCGACTGCCGACGCCGAAGCCCCGACTGCCTCGCGCTTGGGATCGAACCAGCCGCAAATCTCTAGGAACCGCCCGGTCCTGCGCACAGAGAGAGGGAATCACCAGCAAGGGATGGTTTGGGTCATTCCATTTCTCATTCCCTGCTAAGCACCAGCAAGCTAAAGAGTTCGAATTGTGGGATGCTGCAAAACCAATGCGCTCTCTGTATTCTCCTTTTCCATTCTCAGGGATCCTTCTCTTAAAATGGGCCAAACCCCTGAACAATTGGTATATAGTTTCTAAAGAGATCGATGGGGAAGACAAAGGGGAATCAAACCTTGGAAGCTTCAACCATTACCATCAAAATAATAGAGTGTGTGTGTGTGTGATTCTTCGGCTCCTGGTATTTTCATGAGTCTTGCTTGGGGTTTGCTTCAAGGCAGGATTCCGAGCTGCTGAAAGGACTTGAACTACCCTTTTGCTCCAGAAAGCCCCAGTCAGGTTTCGTTGCGGGAGGGAAAACTGAGGGTGGTTCATGCATTCCTATCATGCAGCCCTGGGATAAGTCATGCTAGCATTTGCGAAAAAGCACGGAACCTAACTTCAAGGAATCTTCGAGGGGGTCAAGCTCAGAAAGGTGTCCGCCGCTGGGCGATTCAACCCCCTCTTCAAACATGCTGAACCACCCAGTGTTTAAACAACCCCCTTCTGGTTCCACCTGGAGTCTCCATGACCCTTGAACAAAGGGTCCATGACACTTGAAAAATGGGGCCATGACCCGTTTCTTTTGGGCAATGACCAACCATTTTTAAAGGGTCCACCGGGCTCATTGCAAGCCACCTGGTTGTCTCAGCTTGGCCAAGCTGGCCTTCGTTGCACTGTTAATTCAGTGGCTATCGAGTTACCGGGGTGAACAGGCTCCGCTTGGGGAGGGGTCCCGGGGTGCATCCCTGTTAACTTCGGATTCCTCAAAAAAGGAGGAATCGCCAGCGAATTTCAGAAACCAACCTTAAATTGCAAGTCCCCATGGAGAAAGCAATTTCAAGCTGAGACCCAGAAGCAAAACCGGACCCCGACCCCTTTTCTGATCTTGTTGACGTGAGGTGTGTGCCCCCCACGTACAAAGAATGGACCAAGAACAACAGTTGACATCACTGTAGGTTAACTATACCCAGCGGGAGCGCTAGGGGGCTTACACATTCTTAAATAAGGCCTTAATACGGCCTTACTAGCGTCTTCATCTGGGGGAAATAGAACAAGTGTTGAAAGATGATGCAGCCATCTTGACTCCGAGCCCTCCAAGGATGATGCAACCAACTCAAGTGCTTCGGCAAATTCTTTCCTCCCCCCAACTTGGAAAATGGCAACATAACCCCCCACTAAAAAGCAGAAAACACATGATATGTCTCCTATCTGATTTTTAGACACTGCTATATCCGTAAGCTCCATCAGGCAAGTCAGAAGTGCTTCCCGCGTTGCTGGGAAAGCCACCATTTCCTGTTGAAGGATTCCCTAATTGAGTACTGTCTTTCGGAATGATCCGAAGGGGAAAATGATACTTGACTTGGGTTCAACCATAGCGATGACAAGCAGTAGTTGTTCCTGGTGAACAGATATGGAGGGCCAACCACCACAGTAAATTGAACAAATTGTCTTTAACAACATGGCTGTAAAACCAAAAGGTTTCTTCAACCAACACCCAGCTTTGGGCTCCCCTGTTGAACCAACCAATCTGGACAAACTGGTATCATCATGCGAGCCGATGAGCCACGGGCAATATATACAATTGTGTGCCCCAGTGACATTGGACTCTCAGAGGCAATTCGGTGTATATAATGTGATTCCCTTGGACTCAACTTCCTGAGTTGACTGGCCACAAAAGGTCCAAACTTGTTGTTTACCACTTAAATGGTCTTCCCCAAAAGTCTACAGTCCATGGATTCAGGAAGTGAGCAGTCAATATTGTGTGACACATCAAACCCTCCTTTTGGGCGTTGGAAGTTTCGGTGAAGCTCCGTGTCCTAGCGTCCATTTGGTGACTGTTTTTTTTTCCCCATCACTACACTAGGTCCCTAGATGCCTAGATGCTAAACACGGGTTGGGACGAACAAAGCACAGCCCCTTCTGGCTTTAGTTGGGAAAATTCAGCATGGACTTCGAGCACCCAGTGGCACAGTAAATGAAGGCGTCCCTTTCGCTTTCCCCAAATCGAAGTGGCGCAAATACCCTCCTCAACCAAACACCACCTCCATATCGACTCGGCATGCCGCTGGCTTTCTGAGGCTGGGGCTTGGGTCCCAGCAACCGGTTCGGGGCGGCCTCGCGAAAGTTTTGGATCCGATCAGAGCGGTGCTCGGGTTTTGGGGGGAGAAATCATACTGTTGACCATAAGCCACCTCTCCCTGCGCCCCCAAGCATGGCTGGTCCATGGGGGTTTTGGGGGAAGACATCGTAGGCCAGTTGACCGCTTTGTCACCCTGCGCCCAACGAGTGGCTAAGTGGTCCAAAGGCCTGGAGGCAGGGGAGAGATCCCAAAGGCCTTGAGGGCTTAACTTCTGGTAGGCATGGAATAACCGTTCCTTGTGGTGGGAATGGGGCGTTCTCTTAAAAGGAAACCGTAGATGATAGCTGAACTCATTTCTTGCTGAGCACCAGCAAGGGAAGGAACTGGCCCCACGATTTGACCATCCTCTCCTGTCCTAGCCGGCAATGGAATCGATCACCTTTTGTTGGAAGAACGATTTGGCTGTGGGTCAAAACCCTGTACCCCTGGTGAACATCAAAATAGGTGGCAAATGGATAATCATCCACCCCACAATGGAGCCATAGGATATGCCCCATGGCCATTTGTGTCCAAGAGGTCTAAGGGCGATTCGGTCACAAAGACCAGCCATGTCAAGTGGTGTCTTCATGGAAAACAACCACTGCCGACTTTGACAACCCGGCCTCAGAGGAAAGGGAGACATTGGCAGGGAAGCTCGGGACAGCGAAGACAACCGAGCACCGAGATTCAATGCCAAAAAGAACAGCAGCAACCTGAACACCTTTTGAAGCATCCCCAATACGGTCCG